CAGCGGTTACTAAAGAAAGTGATCGGCGCTGAGTTTATTGCTATTGGATTGATGCTGTATGCGGTAAATTATGCTGGATTTCAAGACAATGGGCGAGAGTCTCTCGGTGTGATTTGTGTCGTTCTCAACATCGCCAGCATCGGAGCACCGTTATTTCAAATCGGCGAGGTTCGTATCATTAATGATGTGATTCTGGTGACGAGAAACCATTGACGCACTGAATACGTGAGATGTAATGACTCAGTATCGTTGTTAGCATTCAATAAAATATGGTAGTTTCAGTGATCTCGGCATTCACAAAGGTTGCTTGATATGTATAATCTTATGTAAATCTATGAAAGCACTCGAAAAAGTGGTTAGAGTCCTTCCATAGTGAGAAGCCAATCAGAAAAGCAAGACACAATTTTTCGAAATTTTTTGACGTTTCGAGATGCTAAGCCATTAGTGTAGTTGTAATGAGTTGTGGATAGCATCGTACTCTGATGACATTATTTCCAACCTGCAAGTGAAGAATTTTTAAATTTAATCGTGTAACTAGAGCGCAACACTAGTAAGGCATACTTACTCGGAGACCGGCTTGGGTGGGTTGGAAACAGGGCCAGCCGTCACATTTTTTTCGTAGATTTTGCGAGCTCCTTCGTTTAGGGGGAAGCAACTCTTCCTTCCCGAAATCACAAATGCGACCCCTCGCCAATAGTGCGAACGGACGGTTGAATCTGGACGCAGAGGAAGGGTGCTACCGGAAATGTGTAATCCCTAATCGGAATCCGCTCAGGCCATCTAATAGAAAAATAAGAAATCTTTGAGAACGATATAAGAACGGTTCGTTTTGGGGTTTTCCAAGCTTTACCATACCCTTGAGTTCATTCACTATTGCTAGATCCATTTGCTGGAAGGACCAAACACTGGTCTGCTTATAAGTTTGGAGGACCAACCGCAGTAAAACGCCAATGCGTTTTAGCATAGAAGTAGAATGCGTGGCGCTATCCGAAAAGGATTGATGAGCGCGGATAGTCAACTCGAAAGTTAAGCATTTTCTCCAAATTTAAATGAAGCTATCACAAGGGAGCGCATTGGGGAAGTTATTTGCCACACGAAGCAGTTACTTGGCTGCCAAGGAAGCGAGGTGTGGCGCTTTCACGACGAAAGGTGCGCTGGTTGCTGAGCAGGACTTAAAAAGCTCCGCCCCAAAAGCGATCCGCCCACTAGTTAGTTGGTGATTTGGACGAGCTGTGTTGCCAGCAGCGGCACAACTGGAGCAACTCGACTGGAGCATGGATTGGCATGGTTCGACCTAGCGCTTTGTAGTAAACTCGTCCATACTTTCGCCGTCCTAACCGTTGACCGTCAATGCTACTTGGCGGGAGAGGTCTCGCCTTGAATTCGTGACGGCTTTGTCTGCTTTTTTCGCCGCTGGCGTATCATTGAAACCCCCATGTCTCCTCCTAACCACTCTAGAATCTATCGCAGTCGCTGCCTTTAATGATTGCGTCGCTGGTAGCAATTTACATATTACTGATTTTGCTTTTGACTCTGATACAGTTGAGAGAAGCCATCTTCAAGGGGTAGCATGAATATGTGGTGCCTAACAAAAATGAGCAAAAAGTCAGTTTCTCTGACCTACATATGTGTTACACAAGGACTAATTTATTCTCAGCCTTAGAAGCTTCTGATGATAACCATGAATAATTAACAATTATTTAAGGTTATTCGAACGAAAAACTCGGAATCGTTACCACTTCCTTTGTGTTTGGCATGCTTTCGCTGTCAGTTTACAATGGTTGCTATATGGAGTACTTGTGAAAGACTACGTCATACAGGTATGCATTTATACATTCCTATATATGGTTGACAGCTAACCACTCACACCACGTGACAATACCTAAGAGGTCTTACGATGTAGGAGGAAGCCGTCATGCGGCGATGCGCGCTTTCGTCAAGAATTTCATGCTTAGCAAGTGAAACAGGGCTTTCATATTGCGTGGGAAGCGGTGAAGACGTAGACTATGCAAGATAGCACGCACCTGTTTGAGAGCAAAGGCGGAAGGGAGGGGCGTTCCTTGGATCTTCGCCAAACGCAAAGGCAACGCAAATATTCCAGCGTGTGAATCATGGCCACAAAATTGGCTCGTAGGCCTACCCGTGGGAGCTCCGGCGCTTCGCTCCAGGCCTATCGCCCTTATACTTGTGCAGATCCTCACTTGCCATCACCTAACCCACCGGTCTAACTTCATGCTCCATATTTTTGAAAATTAAATACGCATCCACATGACATTTCCGGTACCGGAACACTCATCATAGCGACGGTTAACTATCCATACTCGACAATTGTCCACTCGTTTGTTCAATTTATCCCGCGACGCCACCATTTGTCGAGACATGGAAGGACGCCGCTTATCTGTAACATACAGAGAACAAATCAGACTTTGTAATAAGAACGAGCATAACCTATCCTCCAAACATTCCAAGGAGTTATACGTCACAAGGGAAAAGCTTTTGGATATCTGTTGAGCTGTGAGGGAATGAAGCCTCCTGTCCTCGTCAGCAAGATGGTACGAGTGTTTCATGGTGCTCCGCATGCTTTATAAAATCGCTCATGCTGTGAAAATCGATGGGTCCCAAATGAAGAAATTCCAACGCTAAACGCCCACCGCAAAAATGCGGACCTTAAACCCGTGTACTGCCTATCTAGCATGGTAGACGAACGAAACTAGAATCAAATGCTCCATTTCATCTGCTCGTTAGCAGAACGCCTCCATTTCAAAAAAAAACGAAAAGGGCGTCGTGTAACGACCATACACCACAAGTGACGACTGCCTCCAAGTGAATCTGGTTAATAGTGGTTTATAGTGGTAGCTGGTTTTAGGGAAATATTAGTTGCAATCAGGGACAACTGATAGAATACAACTGCAACAAGGTAGGCACTTCATTGGCAGAAAACATTTGCATTTTCTGGAGGCCGTCGTCGCTTGTGATGTATGGGCTGCACCCGGCTTTCGTTTTCTGAAAGGCCTATTAACCACTATACTACATGTATCACCTGTATCACCCTGTCGCCCGCGTTGATCGTATCCGATTTGTCGAGGCGGCAGCGCCCAGCAACGTCAATGCTGCCAGCAACGGTACGTCGTCCCTGTCGCGTGCTAGGGTGGTCCAGTGGATCCTCCTTGCTCGAGGGACACGAAGTCCATCATTCCTTTCGTTCAGAGCTTTCGTGAAGAAGTCTGACCATCGGGCCGGCGGTCGTCCAGGTGTTCGTTTGACGTCCCGAGGGATCCAGTCGGTAACCGCTCTGGTCCAACGGTCATCGCAAAATCGCATGACGTGTCCGGCCCACCTTATCTTCGATTCCTTGGCGAAAACGGCAGCGTCCCTGATCTTCGATCGTTGGCGTAGTTCCGAACTCCGGATTCCCCTCTGCACTTGCGTGTATAGGGTTACTCCTAGCATCGTCCTCTCGACAGCGCGTTGGATAACGCTGACCGCATGCTCGTCCTGCCTGCGCAGAGTCCAAGCCTCTGAGCGCAGGGTGAAATCGTGCTCGAGTACCGTGGCGCAAGGTAACGACGCCCCCCGACCCCGAAATCGCAGATCCTGCAGACCGCCCCCCCCTCTAAACAGAGCAAATTAATTCAATTAAAATAAATCCTGCAAAACAAATCAAAAAAAATTCTGCAAAATAATGCTAAGGACGCTTCATCTTGTCATCTATGCACGTCTTCCATCGCTGCATACTTTTGTGTACATACTGAAATATCGACTCGAGGAAAGAGGCATTAACTTTGTGTGACCTCAAGGCGAGGTTCGTTCAGAAACGCACAGAAATCCTGAAGACACGGGGGTTGCGATTCAATCTTGATTCTTGCTTGAGTATATCAAAACAGCCGAGTGTATCAAAGGCCGATTCAACGGCAGCTGCGGCGCGATTGTCACTGGGTCAGATTTGCCGAAATTTCAAAAAAAAAACGTCCGAATCTACACCCTCGATGAAAAGGTTGCATTCCTCCATTTCACAACCTTTGCAAGACAGCCTATCGCACACCGCCCTAGCAAGAGCCGCTATTCACGCACCTCGAAGCCTGGATATTCCAACGTTTCCTACAAGCATCTGAGAAATTGCTTGGTCAGACCCTCTGGAAGCCTTCCTTGCAGAGAATAGGGTCTGTCAAATTTCGTCGAGTAAATGTCGAGGAGGCCCAAATTTTCACGCGAGTTTTTGCCACTTCAAGAGCAATATATCTCTTATATTGTAAGATCCTGAAAAAGGGAAGGTAGTTTTGGAAAGCGGAAGGTTTGCGCTTCCTGATGGTCTGTTTAGTTTTCTTCTACAGCTTTTTGGTTGAAGAGATAATTGCGTCGAGGATCTATCGAGGTCGGATCCGGCCACCTGGAAACCCGCTCCCTCATTCACCATTGCAAGTGTGACTCGTTGGCAACACTCGGAATGTGTCTAGAACAATATCTTTGAACGCAAACAATAAGAATAGGAGCAATCGTCATCATCCGATTTGGTATTGGTATAAGCCATGCATCCCTCCTCCACTCACAGTTGCAGAATCGATTGAAAGGTGTTATATGATGGGGACCTTCGAACGAAACTGTATTGTAGTAGACATAGTGTGTTGTGCTATTCCTGTAACCTAAAAACAACTTCATTTGCCCAGCGCTTTTTCTTCACGGTTGTCGTTTTTCCGACAGGGTCCCTAACAACAGCGTCATTCTCAGCGAGGTATTAAGGGAGAAGGAGCGAGTGATAGGCGGAGGAGGTGCCTTTGCAGCGCGTGCGCACATGTGGCACTCTTCTTTGCGGGGATGCACTTTCATTCTTTGTACTGCCTTCAAATACGCCCTTCTCATGAAGGTGGAGGAATGGAGCGACTGAACCTGCAAAGAAAATTTAATATCATGTTTTTTTTCGGATGTTTTCATTTTCTGCTGCGCTATACCCTATTACCTATCTGCACCATGATACCACTTCTGTTACTGACCCCCAAGAGTACGACCCCCCATGGACCAGCCCAACAGGTACGACCCCCCTGTCGAGGATTTCCTCGACCGATATTCACCCTGGTTGGAGCGTAAGGTTACGCCTGGAAGGACAAGCG